AGTTTGGACGTTTGGTCTCCCACTTGGAGGAAATTATTATTCACTACCATATTCGAAAGATTCCAATCCAACCGTAGATGAACAGTGAACGCCCTTCCCAACGTCAACCCCCAACCGGAACTCTAACTGAAACTCCAATCCAGCTTTTTTTTTTTTTTTTTTATTTAATTTTCACCTCCACGCTCAAATTGATTGAGACCTGAGTTCACATCTGCGCCCCACAGCATAACCCCGCTGTGTATTAACAACATCTCCCGATGATATGACAACTACTACCCCTACCCACAAGCTCCCACCAGCCCACCTTCTCTTCTCTATTCTGCCCCTTCATTCGCTGGACTAAACCAGCCCACATATGACATAACTACAATTTCATTGGTATTTTCGTCGTTAAAAAACCTTAATACCCACTAAATACCGTTGAATTTGAATAAAATTATTATATTATGTAATCCATGCACTACCTGAACATAAAATTCTCTTAATTTATTGCTTAAATAGATACTTAGAAGTCAATAAAAATAATTAGAACTTAATTAAAAATAAGCAAGAGAAATGAGASCTTGGCATATAGACCAATAAAACTTCAGAAACAGATACATAAAGAGATAAAAAAAAAAAGGCAAAAGAAGATAGATTTTGATCTAAGGATAAAGCCCCTGTAAAGAAAGTGGGAGGGACTGAGCTTCTATATCATGCTTCTCGGAAGCAAAACTTAAGCTATAGCTTCTGCAAATCGACGGTTAGTATTCCACCGATAAAAATCCTGAATATCACACATACTGATATACAGAGGTAATTGATTAATTATCAATACAGACAACAACAACAACAACAGCATCATCTTCAAAAACGGTTTACGGTTTTTATAGTATTGTTTAATACAGGATCGACGGATTGGACCGTCGGATCAAAATGAAGGGACGATACCGTACCCAGTATCGGCCATCAAAGCAGCGGCGGAGGAGTAGATTCGATCGACTTCGATTTCGATCTCCGTCCGTTTCGCAAACCTTCCTTTAATCCTAGGCCGCGTCTCAGCGTATGCTTTCCTCGATGCGTAGCGGATCGTCTTCTCGAACTTCCTGTTCTTCCTCTTCTCTCTGTACCTCAACACCCTCGCTTCGCGGTCCATTCCTGACAGCTGCGACGCTCCGTGGTTCCCCGCGCCCAAGGTTCCATCGATTCCTCCCTTCCGTCCGAACGGATTCGATATGTCGGAGATCGTGTTGCTGCTCCCGTCCGGCACTACTCCTACGTCCAACGAAGACGATGATACCTGGAAACGAAAACCCAGAAGGGAAGTCAGCAAAGTGGGAGTTTCAAGTGCAATTTGTGTTGACTTTATGTAGATCTGGATTTACGCTCTGGCTAAGGGATGGCGTGGTGTAGCTGTAAGAAGGCTTGGATCGGCAGAAATCCATGTCGAAGCACTGGTCGGAAGGATGCATAAATGGAGACGGAGTGGGTTTGGTGTGCACTGGAACTACACTATCAGCACCGGCGCTATTCTGGTGGTGATACCTCGCGTCCATGGACGACGCGTAGTCGAGGTCGAGATACGGATCAACGTCGGAGAAAAAATAGTCTCCGGTTTTCAGATGCGGCGTTTCCATGAGCTTAGCAGGGTTAGGGTTCGGAAGTAGCCATGAAGCAGCTTCCGCCTCCTCGCGGCACGTGTCGGCATCGTCGTCATCGTCGTTATGGTCTTCATCGTCGTCGGAGGACTTGAGGAGACCTTCGGGGACGAGGAGGTTAACTGAGTTGGATTTCATGGCCGAGGCGGCCGATTCGTAGAAAGGCACCACTGGAAAACGTTCGTGGCGACGAGCGAGTGGGTTTGCCGAATGGATATCCCGGTCGCAGGAAACGCAGAGGGCAGCCGCGTC